GTCTACATAGTGAGTTCCAGTACAGCTGGGGCTACAGGGAGACCCTGTCTCAAAAAGACAAAAAAAAAAAAAAAAAAAACGATGTGGCTTTCAGCTTCCTGCTCTGGCTACCATGCTAACTCTGCCACTATGGACATCTAGCTCTCGGGAACCATAATCCAAATGAACTCTTTCTTCTATAAGTCGCTTTTGGTCGTGGTGTTTAATCACAGCAACAGAAAAGAAACACAAGGCAGCAAGTCTCTATCACGGCAGCCCTTCATCCACAGGGAGACAAACGCATCCCGCCAGAGGTAGGGGTGGAATCAAAGAATGTTAAAAAAAATTCTTGTACCCCATGGTTCCCTCCAACATGAAAATTATAAGGTAATGACTCTGGATGGGGGTTAGAGGGGATTCTTGGCAAACCTGCCAAGGCCTGTTGGACTGATCAGTTGATGCCAATTTGGTTTGCAGAAGCTTGGGTTGGGAGATAAAGGAAATTCATTACAAAGTAGAAATGGACAAGGGAGGAGGTCACCCTGGTTCTTTGGTCTTCCAATCCTGAACCAGTGTCTGTGGCACTGTCCTGGACTCCTGAGGCTTGCTAGGTCTCTCTGGATTTACTGGGCATGGAGAGGACCTAACATGCTTGAGGCGATGTAAGCTTCCCAAGGACTGGCTCCCCGAATGTCTTAGGTACGGAGCCTGCAGCTGGATAGAGCTCATCGACCTGGTTGTGGCCAGTGCCCACAGGGTGTGCCAGGCTCTGGGTAAGCAGGCAAAGTCTGACTTTCGCCAGCTCATTATAACTTGGTCTCATAGACCATCAAGACAGGACAAAAAAAGGCTTCCTGCCTGTACATGTTGATGGTGATGGGTGTATGAGTATGCAGAAGGCCAGCATGGGCATATCTGCATGATAAACCTGGAGCTCACGTATGCCCTGAGCCCAGGACAAGTGGCATTCAGAGATGTTGGAGAGGCTTGCTTGGCTTTCTTCATTCTAGCTCTGAAGCACAAGTATTTCCAGACTGTCTTCACCATCTCCAGAGTAGGAGAGTCCATGAGTAGACCCATGCCTCCTCATCCCTTCCTTCACTTCAAACAAGGAGCCTCAGGAACCGGTGTCTCTGGGTCCGCATGTCCAAGTGTGGACTGGGGACGGGAATCTGGGAAGGCAGTGTTCAGCATGCTGTTGCTGACCTGTGACTATTAAGCCTATCTTCTTTTTGGAACCTCAGATTCTTCCCCTGTAAATGAGGCGGGACTAGACCAGTGTTTTCTCACCTTGACCATAAATCAGAATCATCTGTGTGGTACCAAGACAAGGGAACTTGAGAAAACAAAGATTCCTGGGCCCCATCCCAAAGCTGAAGGAACCTGAACTGCCAGGAAAGAGAGAGTGAAAAGTCCTAAATCCAACCTAAACTTCAGCTAGGGAGCCTATGGAGCCCCTCCAAATGTGCCCCTTCCCTCTGTATCAAGGAAATCCTTGGGACGCATTTGCTTCCAGCCATACCCCAACTCCTTCCAACTTCTCAGCCTCCACGATTAAAACTCAGTGCCTGAATCTTGAACTCAGGGGAACTAGATGAACCAGAGTCAGCTACACCATCATTCTCTCCAAAGAGCTCTGGAGCCTGAAGCACTGTTCAGTGAGCAGTTTATTGCCCATCCACCTGTCCCCAGCCTCCCAACATCACAGCCTGCACAGTCTGGACATCATCTTCGTCCCAGTCAGTTCTGGCACCCAGCATCGGTCTCCACCCCCATCTCCACACTCTTGTCTCCCTTTCAAAGCAGCACCAGGCCTGGGGCCACACCTTAGGTGGGGGACAGAAAAGAGACAGAGAGACAGAAGCTGGCCAAAGAGAAACCAGAGTTGGCCCCCATGCTTCTGGAGTCAGCACCCCAGTTAGGAGGACAAAGGATGCAGGGCCACCACGGCTGCCACACGTGCTTCAAGCAGGAGGCTCTTCTCCAGGAGGTGCAGGGAAGCCACTCAGGTCTCGGCCAATGATCTCACTCACTGTAAAGGAGGGGCAGTTGGAAGATGGGGCTAGGGCAGGTCCCCTTCTTTTTTCAGAGACACCCCCACCTCTGTTCCAGGCAGACCTCGGCCTAGGACCCTCTGGACCCCTCTTTCACTGGTTTCTCTTTCCTGGGCCTCAGCTTCCCCAGTGTGTCTTGACAGGTGCCCTCACTAAATCATGTCAGCTCCATCTCTGTGGGCTCCCAGCTCTCCATATTAGCCCATTCCTGCCAGCCTGACCTATGTCAGCATAGACAAGGTAGTCGGGGGCAGCAGATCAGATGTAGGTAGTCAGTGGAAGAAAGAAGAAATAGAACAAGAAGATCTTCATCACCAATGAGGACCATGGTCACTATGATTCCAGGACAGGTGACTCAAGGGAAAATGTCCTCAACTGGGCTCTCTGTAAGCCACTGTCCCTCCCTGAAACTCAGTGCCTGAATCTTGAACTCAGGGGAACTAGATGGACTGGCCTAGTGCTGAGATTTTGTGATTTGGGCAGAGATAGAAAGACTGGAGCAGGTATTCCATGCACCCTCCGGAATTAAGTTGCTGAATTCAAATGGCCATGCACATCAAGAACTTGCTCCTGGGACCTCTGACTGGCCCTGGGAGACTAAGAATGCCCAGTCTCTGAGCAGTCAAGCTCCAGCCCTCAGCATACAGCAATCTTTCACACCCACTCACACTCACAGCCCCCAGTCGCACACCCACCTTCCTCCAACGTGATACCCTGGATAGGGACACTGTCTCTGAAGCCGCTGCTGTAGCCACCCCTGGATTTCTCCTGCTCCGGAGCCCCCTCCCCAGGGGCATAGCCTGGCCCCACCTCATTGTAGCCCTCAGCAGGTAGGGGGTGAACAGCATTCTGGGGAGGGAAGGGGCCTTCAAGTGGTGGGGAGGAAGGCAGTGGAGGCCGAAAGGGGGCTGGAGGGGAGAATGGAAGCCCCAGGGGGAAAGAGGAGCCCCGTCTTCCATAAGGATCGCCAGGGAAGGGGCGGGGAAGGAAGGAGACTGCAGGTGGGCGGGCACCTCCAGTCTCAGGGAACATCCGTAGGCCTGATCTGTAGGATGGTGGGGGTCCCGTCTGGGGGTACAGAGGGGGTGTGCTATAACCAAAGCCTTCTGACAGGTATGGCGTTTCATAGGCAGGATCTTCATGGGGGTAGGAGGGGTAAGGGGGCCTGGGTGGTGAGAAGTCCATGTCAGTGCCAAAGGGGGGACCCGATGTGGAAGGGAAGCCCCGGAGAGATGAGTCTGGAAGGGGCTCCTCCTTGAAGATCACTGGGAAGATGAGGAGGCAGGAGGCTGGTAAGGCTCTGGGAGCCTTCCCAGTGGACACCTTCCAACCTCCTTCCCTTCCCAGGTTTCATCCATCCCTTGGCCCCTCACAATGGGGTCTGTATCCCTCTGCCCCCACCATATGCTGTCCTAGAGCGCACCAGGCAGGAACTTGAAACTTTGGGCAGGACTACGCTTCCTTCGTCCATTGGAGACATAAAAGTAGACTTGGACTGGCCGGGACACCCGCTTGTTGCTGTACTCAGGGATGGTCAGAGTCAGTGTCACCTAGGGAAGAGCAGAAGATGAGACAGGAAGCCCTTAGTGATCTCAGGTCAGACCAACCCTTCCAAGGATCCAACTCTTATCTCCTAGTTTTCACTGTTGCTAAGGAGCCAAGCTCATTCCCTAGAGATGAAACTTGTTTCCCAGCTAACCAGCCCCTCCAGGCCAGAAGAGGCCGCTCTGGACTCCAGACCCACAGGGAAGGACTCCCTCTTAAGAACTTCTTGACTTCTCCCACCCTTCACAGCCCCCCCCCGGGTGGGGACCCCAGGGACACTGGTACCTCACTGCTCTGCAGCCGGTTCACCGCAGCCTCCTCCTCCCATTGTAGCTTTCCATCTGTACAGGGGAACAGAGCTCCAGCACAGCTCTAGGGCCCATCCCCTGCCCCAGTCCCCTGCCCTTTCTCCTCCTGCTGGAGCCAATATCAGATTCAAAATGTCCTTAGCAGGTCACAGGGGACACCAGGTATTTGTCCAATCAAGAGGCAAGCTTTAAAACTGTCCCCAAGGTACAAAGAAGCAAGCTAAGACCAAGGGAAATGGCGGGGCTAGCCAAGGGCCTAGAGGCAGCCCTGGAGCCCTCCCATCTAAATTAAGAGTCCTTTCCCATGATATCACTGGGACAAGACGCATCGAGTAGAAATAGGCTCCAGCTTGAAGGAAGGCAGTGAGACCAAGTCTAATGTCTTAGACAGAACCTCTGATTCGAGTGCTAAATGTGGGTCTAAGGTCTGGGCCGTTATGAGCAGGGTGGAGGGAAGGGGAAGCCCACAGGCTGGTGGCCAGACCCAGAATCCTCAGTCTCCCTTTTCTCCACCCTCATAACTTCATCTTGGGGCATGGCAAAGGCTCTCATAATCATAGCTGTGCTTATATCTCACAAACCAGGACAGGCCCAGAAGAACCTGTGAGGCTATAAGTCCCCTCTTCGCTTCAGCTCATGGGGGTAAACCATCTCAAAGCCAACTCCTCTTTAATGACTGGGGTGTCTGTTTCTTAAATGTGCTCAGCATCCTTGATGTTTTAAATCTTCCCATGGGAAACAGACAGTACACCATGGGGTGGTCAGTCTATTCCACTTACATATAAAGAAACTGAGGCTCGATTGTATAGTTTAGCAACAGTGCTAATTCCAAGCTCTTCCTGCCTGTCCTCTTTTCCCCACGAGTACTCACCAGGGCCCCTCTCAATGAACACCACTTTAGAGTCTGGCAGGAAGTTGGAGCCAGTCAGCACTAGTTCCTCTCCTCCTCTCACAGAGCAGGCGCTGGGGCTGTAGGCCTCCACCTGGGGCAGCTCCTGGGCTGAGCGCTGGGCTGCAGTACAAGAGACCTGGCTGGGTTGGGTGCAGAAAGGAAAGTCCTCTCTCCACCCCCACCTTCTTTGCAATAACTGCCACCAGCTGTGGGGAAGTCCTCCTCAGTGGCAGATACAAAAGAGAACCAATAGTATCAATAAAGTCATACGGACTGTGTAAGGGGCACCCTGAAGCAGAGACAAGTGAAGAGAAAAGCCAGAGATCACCTAAATGAATGCACAGGCCACACCAGGAGTAGGTGGGCACAGGGTCACTCTGGGCCAGCCCCAAGAGGGTCTGTAGCGGAGGCAAATTAGGCCTTCGCTGCTCCCATATCATGGTAAAAAGAAGGGCTGGGTCCTCTATAGGGCCACCTACCCACGACACACAGGGCATGGGACACTATGTGGAGGAAATGGGTGACAGACACACAGACGGGAGACTACAAAACACAAAAAAACTGGCCAGGGCCTCTTTGCTCACAGCACTCGATGGGCACTGAAGCTGCCTGCACAGAGACGACCTTCCCGCCGCCCTGAGGCACATGTACACGGAACACCAGCCGCACACGCGTGTTTTTGCGCCCGATGTCCGTCTCACCCTTCCGCAGCTCAATGTCTGAGTTTCGAAGCTTCAGGATTCCAGCACAGTCAATGCTGAGGGCAAATGGATAGTAAGCCCCCACTAGCCGAGGCCAGGATGGTCATGCATTCCCAAAGAGGGATGCCCTGGCCCTCAATCCAAAGTCCTGAGATAGCCTAAGCGTGCTTAGGAGGACTATTTTCTAATCCACAGTGATGGCCTCACCACGATGTTCTCCGACCTCAAAAATACTTCCCTAGATGTTAAGACTCTGTCAGGCATGGTGACGCAAGCCTTCAGTCCCACCACTCGGGAGGCAGAGGCAGGCAGAGCTCTGTGAAATTCAGGCCAGCCTGGTCTACATAGCGAGTGCCAGGCCAGCTGGGGCTACAAGGAGATCCTGTCTCAAAAAGACGAAAAAAAAAAAAACCACCAGAAACTGACAGAGGATAGTTCAGTGACAGAGCGCCTACACAGCAAGTGAAAAGCTCTAGGTTTGTTTCCTAAGTCTTCAAAAAGGAAAAGGAGGAAGAAAGAGAAAGAGAGAGAGAGAGAGAGAGAGAGAGAGAGAGGAGAGGAGAAGGGAAGGGAAGGGAAGAGAAGAGAAGAGAAGAGAAGAGAAGAGAAGAGAAGAGAAAAAAAAAGAAGAGAAGAGAAGAGAAGAGAAGAGAAGAGAAGAGAAAGAAAGAAAAAGAAGTTATACCTCATCCATAATGTCTAACTTCTAGGGAAAGGAAGAAGTGGGCCTCTCTGGTCCTAAATCTTTACAAAGACAGGAAGTTGAGTGAAGACTTACTTGGCAGCCATGTTGTTCTCAGGAAGCAAGGTCATCTCCAACACTTTGGTTCCACTGACTACAGCTTCATAGCTGGCCGTGGCCACCATTTTGCCGGTGATACGGTGCACCTGATAGAAGGCATGCGGACGCAGGTTCCTTTCATCTGCAGTGCCAATGAACATCTGTAGGGTCAGTGGCTTCTCACTGTAGCCTAGGAGCTAGCAAAGGGAGACAGAGGCCACCTAACTGAAAGCCCCACTTCTTTTAACCTTTTTCCACCCTTGGGTTTAGTTCACCAGGGGATAGGACTGATGAACGATAAAGAATATCCTATAAGGGATTCCCTGAGGGAACTGGGCATCAGTTACAGAGAAAATGTGGCCTGGAGTTCACAGTGTTATTCTTGGAATACAGCCCCAACTGGGCTGGGCAAAGGAGGAAGAGCTCCCAAGAAAGACTAGCCCAACTCAGTATAGAGAAAACCTAACTCCCAGTGACCTTTGGCCTCAGTTGAAACCCTCCCCCACATCTGGCAAGCCACCATTTTCCAAAGTAGACAGGAGGCTGGTATCCCATGGGATGAGTTGACTGGGGGTGGGAAGACAGAAGAATAGAAAGTATATCTGGGTCCTTTCAGTGCACCCTTCCTCCCTCAGCTCCAGCCCCTCCCCCAGGCTGCCTGCAGGGTCAGAGCTGAGAGGGAGTGTGGGAAAGGGCAGTACCATGGGTCTGGACAGCTGAGCCCATTTACAGGGATCTGGGATGGGAGAGGAGGAAGGATGTTGGGCCTGCCCTCTGTTTGTTACCTTGACCACAGGGTGACCTCCAGGAGCAGCTTTGACCGCTCCTCGGCTACCCTCAGTCTCATAGTGGGCTCGGTGGTGGGCTCTAGGCTGCACCTCGATCCTCAGCTCCAGCTGCTCATACTGGCTGGGCAAAGGCCAGTCAAGGGGAGGTAGGGCAGAGGTCCTGAGTAGGAGAGAGCACTGGTCATCTGCAACCTCAGGCCACCAGGATCAGATGGCACTGGGTTTGTGAGGGAGGGGGTGGCATGGGTATGGGAGAAAGAAGAAACCACAGCAGTAGTCCAAAAGCTCAGAAGCAGGGCACAGGGAACAGAAGCTCTTGAGCTGAGTGTGTGGAAGATGACAACAGCTCTGAGACTCCCTGTTCTCAAGCTCTTTGCACAAAGTTTAGAGCCTTCATCAGGATACAGAGGAACCCCAAGCCCATGCTGATCCTTAGACCTCAGTGGGCAGAGTACAGTACAGAAGGGCCACTTCAGACCAGAAAAGGCATCAGACAAATAAACTGAGGCCAAAACCTAGGGCCGGCCACTTTCTAATCCCAGGCCAGTTCCTTTCCACTACCTGGGACTAAGCGAGTCAAGTTGCTGGGGTTAAGGGGCTTCAAGTGAGGTTATTTTCCCTGAATTGTGCTTCCAGATTCTCTCTGAGAGTGTCTCAACTGGTAACCGCTCGCCCAGGTGACATTTGGCAATGCATAGGGACATTTTTAGTTGTCACAACTAATTCAAAAAGTGCTATTAGTGTCTGATGAATTAAGGCCAGGGAGACCGCTAAATTATGTGGCAGTGTTCAGCACAGTCCTGCAACTACAAATTACCCAGTTCAAAACAATTCAAAAACCAACTCAAAAAGGCAGTATGGCCGAGGTTGAGGAACTCTGACCTATGGGTACCCCAGAAGATCAGTGTTAAGCTTTCCTCTAGAATCTTTTCAGGATGGAGCCTGCTCAGTCTGACATCTCAAGGTTTAGGATCCTAGTAATGGGCAGTAGTCTTTTCGAGTAGAAGGGACAGAAATGCACATTTTAATATTAATTCTTGGACTTGAAAATATATGCAGTTTTATTCAAATTAGAAGCTATGCACTTAAGCCACTAGATCCGGACCCTAGAAATTAAGAGTTAGAGAAAGAGGACTTTTAAGACGGTTAGACCTGTCTAAATAGCCAGAGGGTAAGGTTGGAGATTGGCTAGTGGCAGGGCAGAGCTGAAGCTGTGAGAAACCCTGAAGGAACCTCACCTTTATGCCTCTTACAACAGCGCAGGGTTGGGGTGAAGAGGCTTTTTCTTATAGGCCCATAGCTATTGCTCCCCAGTTGTCAGTCTAGGGGCATGTGTTTTCCTAAATTTCCTTAAAACCGAGCTAGCTAGCAGTGGCCCTATGGTTGCAGGTGCTCCTTTGAAATGTGGAGGCACCTGGAACTCATCCCTTGACCTTCCTGTTCCCCCGTGGGGGAAGCAGAGGTGCCAGATTCGGGCCTCACCTGAAAATGGGACTGTGTCCCCCAATCCGGGCCTTGGACCAAGCAAGAGGAGATGGCACCGCCAGGTAGTCCATACCCGCCACCTCTTTCCGCAGACCCCCGGAAGGAGCAGCACCCTCCTCTGCTCCCGATGGCAGCTTCCCATTGCACGGGGCAGGTTCCTCAGACCGAGGCAGGGCCACTGCCTGCTCACTAGAAGTCCTCCGGGTCTTTTGGGGGATGCTCTCGGTTGGTGGGGCACCCACATAGTCAAAAGGGCCAGGGGAGCCAGGGTCCCGGGCCAGAGGCAATGGGGGTGGTGGAGGGGGCTCCGGCCCTTCTTCCCCCAGGCTGCCCCGGCGGGACAGAGCTGGGGAGGCCGAGGAAGGGGTTCCGGAGCTGGAATAGCGCCGCTTGCCACAGGGAGAGGCAGGCCGCGGCGAGGCTGGGGCCGGCCCAGGAGCGCTGAGGAGTAGCCAGCTATCCTCCGGCGCTCGGCCTCCAGGGCTTGGACCATACAGGCTCCAGGGGTCCTCCGGGGTCCAAGGCCTAGGAGAAGCCCGGGGCGACGGCAGTGGAGAACCCAAGCCAAAGCGGGACGCAGCTTCATTTAGCTCAGACTCCACCTCGTCGCAGGCTGCGTATAGAGCTGCCTCGTCAGAGGCATCCGAGAAGAAACTCCATGAAGACAGGCTGCTGCTGCCAGGGCTGGGGCTGAAGAAGGCGCCCCCACCCTGACCTCCTGCCTCTCGGTAGCCCCCAAAGCCTTCTGGTGGGGGGTAATCTCTAGGAGAGCCGTCCCCCCAGGCATCAGGAGTGTCGTCTAACGGGGCCGGCGGGTCAGGCGTGGGAGAGATGGAGGTGATTCGGATGCTGGGACACTCTAGAACGCGACCGCCCCCGGTACCCCCAGCACCCCCTCCTGGGCCCCCCAGCCTCACCGACCGGGCCGGCTGGCTCTCCCAGGTGCCAGGTGAGGGGGCGGGGCGGGGCGGTGGTGAGTGCATGCCTGGCCGAGGGGGTGGTGGTCGGGGAATACCAATAGGGGCAGCACCATAGGGAGGGGGTTCCCCCAGGGCCAAACGGCAGCATGGCGGGGCATCCTCTGAGTCCAGCTCTGTCAAAATGGGAAGGAGAGTAGAGGGAGATGGGGAGAGAGAAGCCGGTGAGATGTCCAAGTTTCTCGACGGCCAGCCCCTAAGACCTGCTACACTCAGCTAGGAGGTGTCTCCTAGTCACAGGACAAAAGCAAAGTGGGACGTCAGAAGACGGAAAAGAGATGCAGAACCTCACACCCTGAGCCCCTGGACTTGGGACCTAGGGTACCCGAGGGGGCGGGTCTTAAGGTGAGGGAGGTGGCTTGGGAGGGGTTGGAGTGCGGCCTGCAGGCGTGTTTGCCCCGGCTCTGGGCTGGGCTGGGGGGCGACTCACACATGAACCCAATTAGCAGCGGTTCCCAAACCCCCAAACTGTGCTGGCAGAAACCCCAGTTGCCATCGCAACCGTGGCCTGGGGGCGGGGGAGGTATGGCAGTGGTGACGAGGGGAGGTGGCTCCTCCCTCGCTCCCCCCTCCTGCAATGGGGGGCGGGGGTGCAGCCGATCGGTGATGCGTGCGGAGCCGAGCCAGCGAAGGGGGGCAGTGGGCAGCGCGGATTCCGTGCGAGCGGCGGCCGCCGCCCCCGGCTCCATCCCCGCCATCTGCCTCTCATTGCGGCCAGACAGGGGGAGGGGGAGGGGAGCCCAGGCGCTACCAGTGAGCGCCCCCAGCCCAGGACGTCGCGTCTGCAGGACCTGGCCTGGGTCTGCTAGGGGCCAACTCCAGAGCCAAACTTTCCCATCCCAAGGAGGCGCCTGGGACTCTTGGGGCCCGGTTCTTTTCCGCCCCTCATCCCAGTGACAGTCGGCCCAGCCGGGAGGCGGCGCGCAGCCAACACACCCCCACCCCCACCCCAGCCAAGACCTAAAAAGGAAAAAGTGGTGCCCCGGCCCCCAGCCTCACTTCCGCAGACTAGGTAGTCCCCCAGCCCCCTCAGCCTCTGCCGCCCCTCCCCCGGCTTGCTGCACCAAAGTGTCCTAACTCAGATCCCCCCGCCCTTCTGCCACTGACCACAAGATCCCTTCCCAGCCCCGCACTAACCTTCCCCAGAACCCCCCGCGCCCAGCGGGGGGGCCTCCTTTTCCTCCCCGAACACCAGCTTAAATTCCAGCTCCTCATCCTCGCAGCTCGCAGCCCCCATGGATCCGGCTGGAGCCCCCAGGTCCCGGCCTGGGCGGGAGGGGGACGTTCTGGAGGCCGCAGTATCTTCTCGCGGGTGGTTCCCTCCCTCCCTTGCTCCGAGACGCCCCCTCCTCTGTCGCTGCCGCCTCCCTCCGGACGCCCCCTCGTTATTATAGAAACTTTTCCAAACTTTTTTTCCCCAAACTTCTTCAAAGCGGCCCCCCCTGAGCCTGTCCCTGATTGGCTACCGGGGATGCTCCGGCCCCTCCTCCAGGGATGAGATGGGAAAACCACGCGCCCCTAGTCCTCCTCCACTCGCCCTCCCTCAGCGGTCTCTCCAGTCCCACCCCCTCCCAGGGAAGAAAAAAAAGCTGAATTGGAAAATGGGCCTTTCCAGCTTTATAAGATCCTAATGGTACCTACTGGGCCGAAGTTCTGACACTCAACCCCCACAGGAACCCCAGCCCCAACCCATTTAGTCTCAGGTGGGGGTGGGGGGCACTAGGATTCCAAGCACCTTAAAGAGGCCGCAGTCTGGGCCCGCAGTGTGGCCGGCCGTGGAACACGGTTCCCAAGTTCTGAAGACGTGTGGCCAACATCCATCCCTCAAAGGAAAGCTGACCTGTTTCCCTCCAATTCTGCGTCCAGGAGGGCCCTGGGGAGAGCGTGCAGGCTGCTCTTCCTCCACCCTCGCTGAGACCACCCCACCTAGGTCTTCTGGAAGCTCTTAGTCTCCCTAACCATCACCTTCACGAGCCATCCCTCCCCGTTTCCTGAAGGTGAAGAACTTTTAGCTGGCTTGGAAGTCTCTCAGAGTTGTCTAAACCCCGGAGGTCTTTGAAGACCCACAGCCCTGGTGTGTAGGTCCCTGGCCGGGCTTGGTCCATGCCACTTACGGAGGCCATTCATCAACCTCCTTGGGAAATTAGCTCCCTCCTCCCAAGCTCTGTAGTCCAGAATGACTCTCAGATCCGTCCCGCTTTCCTAAATTCCTGGCCAGGTTTAGGAGCGACCCAGAGCTAAAAACCAGGTAGGCCCCAAGGGCTGGACTCCCGTCACCTGGGCAGGGAAGGAAGACCCGGGGTGGAGTTTCCCCGAAGGCCAAGCGTGGGGTGGGGTCCCCAGTTGTAAGAGAAAGAGTTGGACGAGAGAGTGGGATCTCGGGTGGAGCTGGGGGGGGCAGTCACCGTTCTCCACCCGCACGCCGCCCACATGCTGAAAATTCCCTAGGAAGCCTCAGAGACCTCCCGTCTCTAAATCCCTCGGGCTCCGGGCCGCGCCCCCAACGTCACCCAGCCCAGCACCTGAAGGGTTAAGCGCCGGCCCTCGGGTCAGACGTTTACAAACACTCGGGAGCCGGGCGGGGACCGCGCCCGCTACTCTAATGAGAAACAGGCTCCGCGAGGCAGAGGGAAGGGGGGCCGGCCTGCCTGGCCCCAGCATCGCGGCTGCTCCCCTCCCTCCCCTCGGTCCTCCAGGGCCCGCCCTGGGGACCCCCCCCAGCCCCCGGGGACCCCAATGACGTGCGGAGCTGCCCCGGCTGCGAGCCCAGGACCGCTGTGCGGGAGGGGCCGGGAGGAGAGGCCTGGCGGGCGGGGAGAGAAGAATGTTCCGAGGCCGAGGCCGGGCGGAGAGACGGCTGGGTTTAATTTTTTTTTTTTTTTTTTTTTTTTTTTTTTTTTTGAGCCCTTGCTGGCCTGGAGCTACCTATGTAGACCAGGTTGAACGCCTGGAACACCTCGACCACTAGCCTGCACCAAAGAAAGAGGGTTGGAGGAGGTTGGAGGTTCGGGGAACCGAGCCCCCGGGCCCCCCCCGGCCCTCCCCTTCTCCCCAC